ATGCAGGATGGTCTTAGGCGACCCCTGTGAAAGGGTCGTTCGACCGCCAAAGGGGTCGAAACCCACAGGTTGAGAACCACTGGGTTAATGGGATTTAGGTAAAAGGAGGATGTAATGCTTTCAACAATAACATTTTTAAAAAAGAAAAAAAACCAAAACTCATATAATTTGTTCTGTCATAAAAAAAAAAAAAGGTCCCTGACCGGTTTGGCTCAGTGGATGGAGTGTCAGCCTGAAGACTGAAGGGTCCCAGGTTAGACTCCAGTCAAGGGCATGTACCTTGATTGCGGGCACATTCCCAGTGGGGGGTGTGCAGGAGGCAGCTGATCTATGTTTCTCTCTCATTGATGTTTCTAGCTCTCTATCCCTCTCCCTTCCTCTCTGTAAAAAATCAATGAAATATATATTTTTTTTAAAAGGGAGAAAACTAGACCATAAATGGTAACAGTCTGATCATTTGTTAATGCTGTCCTCTGATAATGTGGCTTTTTGTCTGGTTCTGCACCGCATACCAATGAATCAACTTGGCTGAAACAAGACCATGGCTGGGCGGCAACTGAAATAGCATGTAGTCCTCCTGTGGTAGGTAGTTAGACAGAGCATGGATGATGGGCCAGTTATAGATGGTCACCAGGGCAGAACGTCCTGGATAACTAACACTGGGAGAAACTGGTACAGCAAGTATTGGAGATAAGTATTGTTAATGGGGACCTCACCCCTAAGGCATCTTCTGTTCCTCTAGAACAGCGGTTCTCAACCTGTGGGACACAACCCCTTTGGAGGTCAAATGACCCTTTCACAGGGGTCGCCTAAGACCATCGGAAAACACACATATAATTACATATTGTTTTTGTAATTAATCACTATGCTTTAATTATGTTCAATTTGTAACAATGAAATTGGGGGTCACCACAACATGAGGAACTGTATTAAAGGGTGTGACCCACAGGTTGAGAACCGCTGCTCTAGAATGTCTCCAGGCATGCAGGTCAGATTCTCCCCCTGACCTTCCCTCCCCTGGCATATGGCTAAGTCGTGTGGTAGACCCCCACCCTTAGAGGAGAACAAGGGGGCTGCAGGAAAGCCCCGTCTAACTTTCATACCAGGACAGCAGATGACCCAACAGGCTGTGATAGGTCAGCTTTAAGAAGAAAGTATTAACCACGCCCCCCCCACACCCCCAGCTGCCCAGAGGTTAAAAGGAACCCTAGCCCACACCCTAGAGCAGCTCTTTGAGACGCCCACTCGAAATTTCTCCGTGAGTGTACCTTTTCTTTGCTTGTTTAAGAAATGTTCTCTCTCGAGTTTGGGTCCTGTCTCTGCATTCTTTTCCTACCCAGAGCTCATGTACCGAGGTCTACTTTCTCCGTGGCCCTGGAGGGCTCCTGCGAGGTAAAGCATTGCAAGGCTTGGCTTGCTCTGTGCTGGGCTGAGGACACCTTTACTTGGGTATCAGCCTCATGCAGGCACCAGAGGGTAAGTGCTCATAATCATCCCTAACTTACATTACAAAAGTCACACAGCTGTTCCTGAAAAACTTTCCATCTTCCATTCTCCTTTGATTTCTTATTAAGAGTCACAAGAAATATTGCCTTAAAATCCTCTATCAATTCCAGGGGTCCTCAAACTTTTTAAACAGGGGGCCAGTTCACTGTCCCTCAGACCATTGGAGGGCCGGACTATAGTTTAAAAAAAAAACTATGAGCAAATTCCTATGCACACTGCACATATCTTATTTTGAAGTAAAAAAACAAAATGGGAATAAATACAATATTTGTATTTGCATGTGGCCCACGGGCCATAGTTTGAGGACTCCTGAATTATACTGTTTACCTCTGTACTTCCAACAGTGTTATTCAGCTCGTTAAAAACTTGCCTGAGAGCATGTAGTTCTGGATTCTCCAACTTATAGGATGTGACAAATTTTTATGTGGCATTCCTTATTTTTCATGCAGCTTTGTGTTGTAAAACTCATTTTTCACATGTAAGGCAGGATTTCATCATTTCATAATGAAATCCATGTGTGTAACACCACAGATTTCTTAGGTAAAATATATTTCTTAGATAAAATATATAAAATAACATGAATAAGTATAACACTGGACTATTTTCTGATTTTCAAAAAATAGATTTAAAAAAAAAACAACCTCTAGCAATAGGATTCAATGGAAAATGTTTATAGCTAACTTATATCGCTGGTTATACCATTAATTGCTGGTTCGTTGGAAATTACTTAAGAAAGCCCAGGATCTAAGAGTGACCTATAAAACAGGTAACGCACCTTAGCATCCTGAACAATTTTAAGGATGTTTCCTGTGAAATGGTTGCCCAGTATAGTCAATTCTCTATTAAGAGAAGAGCTCTACGGTACAGAGAACCTTTGGAAATTAAAATGTCTACACTTGCCTTTCATCAGGACTATGTTGGACAGTGGTGATTATTCCAACTTTAACAAAAATAATATCCTGCCTGAGCTGAGTCCAATGAGGAGTGGATCGTGGTGGAAGCTCCTTCACTCCTCCAGCCCTTAGCTGGGCCCCGGTCAGAGAAACTCATGTCAGTGGACACAGAGCTGATTTCTCTGTCTTCAAGTGTATCACAGCAGCTTGATGAAGACACATTTCAGAGGGCTCATTGGGAAGTTTTATTTCAAATGCATATCCATGTGGCTGAGCCTTTTCTTAGTAGGTCTCCCTTCACCTGTGCAGCTTGTACAGGGCTAGCAGAACTGAGCTGGGTGAAGTCAATAGTTATTACATCAGCCTGCTGGGTTCTACAGTGGATTTCCAGAGTGCTTCAAGTTCTGAAGCAAATTAGACAGAGACCCTGAACTCTGTGAGGTGCTGCACATCTTACTTAGCAATAACAAACCTCAGTCCTAGGAGAAACAGTCAACACAAATAACCGGCAAACCTCATCACAAACTCCCTTTCATTAACGCATTACAACTCAGCACTGACTGCTATTGAGGATGCTGCTGCTGCTGACCATGATGACAGCTCACTTTGGTCGGCTGCTTACAATTCCCAGGCAGTACACTAACCATCTTATATAGACAGGCTTATTTCATTTTAATACCCCTAATCATGGCTACCATTATTTGCCTTATTTTGTAGAGGGATCAACCCAGGAACAGAGAAGGTAACATGCCCAAAGTCACAGTGCATCATGGAGGCAAGGTTCAAGCCACAAGGTCTTATTTTGGAGCCTGACCTCTCAGCCATTATGCACCACTTTTTCTTTCTATTACGGTCATGGCCACTGTCGCCACAGTTTATACTTCTACAGAATTTTATAAAATATATAATGAACCTTGAAAATACATCAAGAATTGGAAGATTCCTCACTCTACCCCTCAACCTTGATCCAAACTACTACTTCCCTGGATTAAAACAACAGATTTCTGACAGGCCTCCATGCATTTGTTCGGCCTCCTTCCCCTTACAATTTCTTATCACTGCAGCCAGAGGGATTCTTTTTTTAAAAAAAATATACTTTATTGATTTTTTACAGAGAGGAAGGGAGAGGGATAGAGAGTTAGAAACACATCCTACTGGGGATGTGCCCGAAACCAAGGTACATGCCCATGACCAGAATCAAACCTGGGACCCTTCAGTCCAACGCTCTATCCACTGAGCCAAACTGGTCAGGGCCAGAGGGATTCTTATAAAAATGAGTGAACTCATGCCCTGACCAGGTGACTCAGTTGTGTTGAGAGTCATCCCATACACCAAAGGGTAGTGGGTTCAATTCTCAGTCAGGATGCATACGGAAGGCAACTGATCAATGTTTTTCTCTCACATCAATGTTTCTCTCTCTCTCTCCCCTTCCTCTCTCTAAAAATCAATGAAAACATATCCTCGGGCAAGAATTAAAAAAAAAAAGAGTCCATATCCATATTTTGTTCAAAACCATCCAGCCTCACCCTAAGTCCTCCTCATGGCCCACGCCTCACTGAGGTGCAATGAAGGTGCCCCACTCTTCCACCTGAAGGCTCTGCACTTCCTCTTCCTCAGGCCAGGCACACAGCTTTCCTCATCTTTCATGGGCTATGCTCTTGCTTCCTTTAGGGCTTGGTTCAGTTGTCACATTTTCACTGAAGACTTTTCTGATCAATTCTTATGACCCCAGGTACTGCCATCTCCTAAACATCCGACTACTATCTATTCACTTATTTGTTTATTGTTTCCCCTTCCCCCCGCCCCCAATAATGGAATATAACATGGATGAGGCCAGGGGCTGTTTTGGCTGCTGCTGTCTCTCTAGTCCCTAGGACAGCTGGTACTCGGGAAATGTTTGTTAAATGAATAAAAACTTACACCTTCATTATCTCCCCTAATTCTGAAAAAAGTCAGGACATAGGTATTTATTTTCCTGTTTTAAAGATGAATAAATGGAGGTTCAGAGGTAAAGGTCTGGTTAGACAAGGCTTTTAGAGACTCTGAGAACAGACACTGTCCTTATCCAATATCCTAAAAGCAAAACAAAGCAAAGCAACCTCTATTTTAACATATTTTATTTTTCTAGCTGTGGAATTTGTAGACACACTGTAAATTATAAAACAACCTCCCCCCTGCCCCCCACCCCCAAAACAAAACAAAACAAAACAAAAAAAACAAGACTGGTACTTACTCTGGTTTTTACACTTCGGTCAGTTCCAGCTTCCAACAAGAGTCTAATGCATTCTTTATTTCCATTTTTACAGGCCAGGTATAGAGGTGTCTGTCCTCCATCAGCAGCATGATTAATGTTAGCATCATATGCAATTAGTAATTCTACACACCTAAACACAAGGTTATGAGTCATTACACAGAAACTCCGTTTGATTTCTGAAGTGCCACCTGAGATATGAAATATAGATAATGCTAAAGTCATTCTGCATCTATATGTATATAATATATAAATATATGTCATAAACTATCGTGGGTCTTATTATGTAGGATACTGTTGGTTTTTTTTAACAAGGCTAGAAGATATATTTTAATCACAAACTTAATTACTCCCCTGAAAATTTAAAACAGCAACCTTGGTTAAGCGCTGAAACTTGGTTTATGACACTTCGCTGTAACCAACTTGTAACAGTGGAGTCCTTGGAATAGTTTAACTAACTGGGATGAATGATTTAACTGTGCTTGACATATATATTATTTGTGGTTCAAAACAGTTTGAACCTTGAAAAAAAGTAAGGCTGCTGAGTCATTCCGAGATTTTTCACTTGAGAAAATAATTATAAATAGCGCAGACAGCAGGGCACCATGAGTCTCCACTATAAAAAGCAGCAGGGAGGCAGGGAAAATGGTTGCCTGGGGGAAAAGGACAGCAGAGGGTTCCTGTCTCCTGAAGGGGTGCTAGTTTGTAATGAAGAAGACACAGCTAAGCAGAAACTCATTGCCCTGAAAATCAAGATGAAAAGAAATGAGGTAAATTCAAGACACAGTGGCTCTTACTAACTGGCTAAACACCGAAAGCTTGAGTTTAGAAAATTAGATGACAGTAAACTTAGAAGAGAGGACTAAATAAATCATAGTCAAATTAGGAAGCAATTCACATCATCTTAATTTTTTTTTTTACTTCAGATGCATGTTTTCTCTTTTTTATTTAAAATGGAGTTTATTGGGGTGACATTGGATCTATAATACTTTCATAATAAAGATAAATTTTTAAAAGTACAGGTTTCAAGTGTACAACTCAACAAAATTCATCTGCATACACCATTATGTGCTCATTGCCCAAAGTCAAGTCTCTTTCTGTCCCCTTTATCCCCCCTTAGCCCACTTCCACCTCCCACCTGCCTTTTTCTCTGGCTATCGCGATACTGTTGTCCGTGTCTATGTGTTTTATATATATGGTGGGTTTTTTGTTTTTTTTTGCTTAATCCCTTCACCTTCTCTCATCTAGCCCGAAACCCCCCGCCCTCTGACAGCCGTCTGTTCCATGTATCTTGGCTTTCCTTGAAAACGTTTGGTTTATTTATACATATTAGAAAAATAACTTACATACTGATATGTGTGTGTATCTCATGCACATTTAATCAACCCCAGCATTCTTCCTTTTTGTAAAGCTATTCATACCTCTATTCCCATGTCTATTGTACTATCCAAGTGAGCGGCCCTACAGATTACCTGGTGACAGTAAAGGTAAAGTACAGCCCAGAAGAAATCCCTCTTGGAGGACTCAGGACATACAGAAAATAATAGCAAGACTTATGGTCCTCAATAACTCAGGGTGATAATATGCAGAAAAAATGAAAACTGTATGCTTTAAGGATGCATTTTGAAGTTTCCATTTATAATGGATAACATTCGTGTGAACCTTAAAACCTCTATTTCAAGAATTCAGAAATTTGTTAAAGATTTCTATCAGGATAGTTATGTAAAAAGTTGAAAATAGCTTATAATCTCTGCCACCTGCCCTTTCAGCACAGAGAAAAAACTTAGTTATATTCTATTTTAGTAACATATGACTCAATTTTTAAAATCATTACTATGTTCAACTGCCTTAGTAAGCTAATAAAGGAATCATTGCTGAAGTTATGTACATCTTAATTGATAGGTTCTTTTGGTTTTGTGCTCTAATTACTTTCAATATGTAAAGTTTCTGCTTCATTTTTTTAAAAAATATGATCAGGTAAATAATTGAGATTTAATAATGAATAAATTGCTACTAGAAAGCTAAGATTGTTACAAATAATATAGATCTATGTTCTACTTTTAATGCGATAAGTAAAAAAGCTTCTTTGTTTCAGGGTGGTGAGAATTAGTGAAGAACAAAGTCTAACAGTTCATTTTATTGTTGATATGCTACCAAAAGATTATCTTCTTCAGAATCAAGTCCATTCATGTTTGGACACAGCATATTTCTCCTTCTTCACTCCCCTCATATACAACTCTTCACCAATTATTAAGAAGAGCAAGTTTAGGATCCTACTTTGTGTTTAAATCTTCAAAAATATTTAGTAAGTTTATTTGCCAATTGATTTTAAGCACTAGTTTGCACCTTCAGCCAGAACTAAGATATGTAAGCTAAATATAAAGAATCTCTTTTTATAGTAAAATAAATTAAGAGCATCTCTTACTTGAAATGTCCCTGAGCAGCTGCAGTACACAAGGGTGTAAAGCCATTTCTATCAGCAGCATTGACTTGGGCTTCGGCATTCAGCAGCAATCTCACACAATCTGTGGGTTTTAATAGAAAGCCACTTCAATCCCCCATTTGGAGCATTGGTGAGCCAAATTCTATAAAAGCTGTAGACAGGTACTAAATCCAAAGGACCTTTCCCATGCACAGTTCACCTGACAATTCTATCACGGCGAATGTGAGAGTCCACAGACTGTTTCTGGGGAAAGAAGGCTCTCTTCCCGAAGACTGTAATACCCCAGGCTCACTAAGATGTGATTTTTATTTCCTGTTGGTGCTTTGGGAAGAGTTGCTGAGGAGTGAGAGAACCGTCTGTCGTGTGCCATAAAACACTTTACCAGATTTTCTTACCAGACTATTCCAGAGAATGTTATTGGATAGAGAACAAAATCCATTTACCAAATTGAAATACCATTCTTTATATTTAAATTCTTACTCTGTTTTAATCTTTAAAATGCTCTTGTGTAGTAGTCATCCTACACTTAACTCCATGAATGAGAATACAAGTGAAACCATAGTCACCTGACCCAGGCATAAATAGCATATGGACCTCATGTTCCTCTTGTAATTTACCAGATTTCTCTATATTAAAAAAATTCCCATAGTGCTCTTGAAGTAAAAAAATTCCAAAGTACTTTTAAAATAATGAGCTACTCTATCAGCTCACTAGAATCTTCCATTTAATCCACCTGAACATAGTAAAGCTCTGTAGACTTCCAGGGAAGCCGCAAGATCGGAATTACTCCACAACCATGTGGCTTCCATAGGCAATGCTATTTGACTTTGCATGTGCAGTCAAATCATCTTGTTCTTCACTACCTTATGTTTTAGAATATTTGACTATAGGATCGGCATGTTAAGGAACAAAAATTATTCCTAAATTATTTCATCAATATGTCATTTATAGTTGTACAACTTCTCAGCTTTTAAAAAATCCAAGTAACTATAAATTGTTTCAACTTTAGAACAATTTCAGACCCTTGATCCTTCCTAACTACTAAAACTTTCCCTCTCTGACTTTCACACACATCAGGTATTTCTAACAGACAAATCAGGGTTATGTTGTCCTGACCAAAATGATCACAGATGAAGGGCTTTATTCTAAAATGTGCTATACAGTTACTAGACCTAAAATTTCTATCTACACAACACATTTCATTGCATATAAAACAAAGATGACTTTTTTTCTAGCTGCCCCAAATTTTATATTATAGAACTGTACAATTTGGATTTTTAAAAATGTTTACAAAATCTTTAAATCATGTTAAAAAAAAATTATCCACTACCTGTAAGGGGAAACTGACACCAAAGTAAACTCTTTGCTCCTGACAGTGGTTCCAAGGGCTTCGACTCTCTATCCTTTTGCAAGTGGGTAGTACAGTGTGGTGATATTATCACTATCTTTACCTGTATGTCCATTCTTAGCAGCAGAATACAAGGCAGAATGGCCATCTTCACAGGAGTAATTAATGTCCAGTCCTTCTTCATTAAGCAGCATTGATAATAAAGTGACATTTCCCTGGGCAGCAACTTGCTGAAGAAGGGTGGGCCTGCCAGCCAGGGGGGCAGGACCACCACTCATTAACAAAGGGGTTAGGGAGGGTGACCAGCCTGTGGGTTAAAGTGAGTCTCGTTAGAGGACAGGAGCAAGGACAAGTGACAGACTTACCCACTCCTTCCTGAGTCACACACACACAGACATATGAACATGGATTCCTGGAGGATTATGTGGTTTCTAACATTATCAGTCTGTTAATATTTACTTAGCACCAATCTGTACTGTCATTTCAATTTCATATCTGCTAATTAGGTTAACATGCATGGTCACAAGTTATTTTTAGACATCAGTCTTGCACAGATAAGGGTTAAAGTGGGGATTGGTTTTAGGAAACGAAAATGGCTGTCTCATTTTAAAAGTTCAAATTCATCTTCAAGGTTTCAAAACAACTTGCTTTTTAAAATTACGTACAAATTTCAGTATCAATCTCAAAAAGTTAACTGGTATCTTCAGGTACAAGATAGAAATAGTTGTAAGAAACAGAGATTTTTCTTTCTTGACAATGTTTCCAACGTATTTAATTTTACATAAACCATTGAGATGGACCAAATACTGTCAAGGAACTACTTATACTCCTTGAATTCCCTCATTTAAGAATAAAAATAATGGGGACCAACTACTATTCAATATCAATAGTTAATAGAAGCACTACATATATGACTGGATCTAAAGTATACCACTACAAATAACATAATTTTGAAGACTGTATCATCTGGCCATCTTTATAGCACGTGTTCCAGAAAATTTTAAGCAGCCAACAAGACAGGACACTGTAAATATAGATTTAACAAAAAGTTATCATAGTTAGATATTTTTCATCAGTATTTAGCAGCTTTAGGAGAGAATCTGTTAAGTGTGTGAAGACGGCTGCATATAGCATGGAAAATTTTCTGAATTCTTCCTTGATCAAAAAGCTGTAAAAACAGTAAAGTAAAAAAATATTTATTTAATGTGACATAGAGGTATTTCATGTATTTTTGGCTTAAATACAGTTAACTTTCAAAACACATCATTTTATTTTCTTCCTTATGGAGCCTCAAACACCACTAAGCAATGTTGGTGTGCATATAAAGGCATATGTGCACACTGTCACTCCTCGGGGCATAGTTTCTACAGATATCTGGTAACATCCCATGTAGTAACATGTAATAGATGAAGCTTTTCTATTCTTTACACATTGGCATCAGGATACCATTTTTAGGTATATGGGTACTAATTACATTATTATGTATGTAATATTCAGTCTTTATAGTTGACTGGCCTTAAATTATTTCAATAAATATTAAATATCAAATTACTGGCCTTAAATTACTGGCCTTAAATTATTGGCCTTAAATTATTGGCCTTAATTACTGGCCTTAAATTATTTCAATAAATATTAAATATCAAAGGATTTCTCAATATTTTAAAAATTCTTTGTAATAAACAAAGCAGTTTATACAAATGAAACTAGAACTGCTAATTAAAAGCTGAGCATTATATCTTCCTAATTTATCTGGGTCCATAAATAATTTATTGCTGTTACCCTATTAGACTGCAGTGACATACAGAATTCATATGGTCATAATATTAAATATTTATCTAAACTTTGTGATATTTTCCCATTGATATTCATTTTCTCTTCTTACAAAAGTAGTATTTTTACTTCATACTTACAAGAAGGCTCCTCTCTGGTACATTTTACCTTGTGTATTTTCTTAAAAACAAACAAAAAACAAGCCCACAAAAATTAAATCAGTACTTATCAGAAATGGATGGCAAACAAAACTTGTAAACACCAAGGTGTTTGACTGCAAAGCAAACACAAAAGCAATATGAAAGCATTGCACTGTGGTCCTCCGTGGAATAGGAGGGAATGTGGCTCACACTCTTTCTGCCTCCCTCCAGCCCTCTTTTCTTTCCTTCCTTCCCTCCCTTTCTCTTTCCCCTCCCTCCCTCCCTCCCTTCCTTCCTTCCTTCCCCAAACAGTGAGCACTAGCTCAGCTCAGGGCTCTGGGGTGGATTTAACTCTGTCAGATGGGTAACACCTGTAGGCAGCTAAGGGCGCAGAACACATGGGTACACACCCCTTCCTCCCTCCCTCCTTTCTTTTTTCTTCCTTCCTTCCTTCCTTCCTTCCTTCCTTCCTTCCTTCCTTCCTTCCTTCCTTCCTTCCTTCCTTCCTTCCTTCCTTCCTTCCTTCCTTCCTTCCTTCCTTCCTTCCTTCCTTCCTTCCTTCCTTCCTTCCTTCCTTCCTTCCTTCCTTCCTTCCTTCCTTCCTTCCTTCCTTCCTTCCTTCCTTCCTTCCTTCCTTCCTTCCTTCCTTCCTTCCTTCCTTCCTTCCTTCCTTCCTTCCTTCCTTCCTTCCTTCCTTCCTTCCTTCCTTCCTTCCTTCCTTCCTTCCTTCCTTCCTTCCTTCCTTCCTTCCTTCCTTCCTTCCTTCCTTTTCTTTCTTTCTTTCTTTCTTTCTTTCTTTCTTTTCTTTCTTTCTTTTTTTCTTCTTTCTCTCTCTCTCTCCTCCACCCTTCCCTTCCTTCCTCCCTTCCTCTCTGTATTTCCCTCTAATTCATCCAAGGATTCTTGGTTATTGATATCCCTTTAAAAATATCAACAGGTATCTAATAAATGATTTGCTATTCTTTGGGGATTTGTTTTCATTTTTCCAATACAATTCTAGGCTTGGGGGGAAATTTTAATAACTATATTTTAACTTCTTTATATGGAAATATTCAACTATGGATGTAATTTCCTGGGAAACTCTATGTTTAATGAAAAGCTATCCATAAGATAAAATATTTTATTCAAAAATGTTTTCAATCTTTAGACCACTGAAGAGTCTTATAGTTCTATCTCTGTTACACAAAACTGCAGAAAAATATACATTAATTTCTTTATTTTGTTAGAGGTTTGCAGTACATTCAAAAATGATTTACAAAGGAAAATGCTCTATAAATACCAAGTATTGTTAAACTTTAAATAAATCTTTTGTCTGCACTATCATTTCCAATTGTCTCTAGCACAGACAAACTTAAGTTATTGTAATAAATCCTTCTATAAGCATGGGAAAAATAAAACCTTACCATGATCATTTATTCCTCATTTGAGATTCCCGACAATGATAAAAATGGTAACAGTTACTTGACTTTTTAAGTAATGGTGAAGCAATGATAGGACAGGTCTGCGGTCACACAGTTACTTTAATGATGTTAGAAAAAGGTCATTCAGCTTTGCAGTGCCATGTGCACACATCAGTAACGGTGAGCGTCTGACAGACATGCAGTGACAAGGGGCAGACAGAAGGTGCCATGGCAGAAGGAAGAGTGGAGACCAGCTTCTGGCATCAGCTTCAGGGTGTGGAGAAGGTTAATGTCATAGCTCAGATCAATCTCGTTTTCTGATGTAGACTTTAAGCCAATCATACATGGGGAATAATTTTTAAAATGTATGCTTAAATAAGAAAAAAAAATCTGAACCAATAAAATGTAACAAAATTAAAAATATTCCCAAGGGTATGGAAACTCAGCTGCCGGGGGTGGTTTCTGTTTTAGGCTTCTATTTATCTAACAATTAAAATGTGTTCACTTGACAAGTTCATGAGGAACAAGAAAAACTAATTTACTTATAATTTAAAAATATTATTTAAAAAATTAGCATTTGACCATAGAAATTGTTGACAGGGTTAGAGTAATTTACAAGATATTCATTGAAGTGGTATCTTTTGTCATTGCAAACTTCTCAGTGCTTTGTTAATCAGAATTCTTTCTCACGGATATAAGCTGACACGGAAACACAGAATTTTAGAGTTTGAAAGATCATGGGATCTAGTGGTTCTCCACGGAGGGAGTGGTAGTGTACTGTTGTTTGAAAATTCAACAGGCAAGTTTAATAAATCTCTCTGGTTTGGAACTACTATTACTTTTTGGTTCAATGCTTTCATGTTTAGATGGAAAAACTAATGGCTCAGAGTAAATGTGCTCTTTAGGGTGATACGTAGAAAGGGACTAACCCTGCCTTCTTATACGCAGTGTTCTGTCCCCCACTGAAACTGGAGCCCACATCTACCATGCATTTGGCAGGTGTGCTGTCCCCAGGCCCTGCCCTTCCAACCACAACGCATTAGTGGCTGCTTAGAAGATTAATACCCTGCGATGAGCTTAGGCTCTGCAGAGGCAGGAACTCACCCAGGCACAGATGGGTTCAGAAGCAGGATGGAGGGAGCTCTGGTGCTTCCTAGTTACAGTGAGCAGGGTGGCAAAAACAGGGGCAATCTAATTGGAAAACAGAGTCAAAATCCTATAGGCTAAGCTACACCCATGGGGGAGTTATGCACCGCCCCACTGTGTAATATTAAGATTTCCATTCCCAGAATACACTGCAGGATCAGTAAACACCGTGCTGAATGACTACCTCCACAGTCTCCATTTCGACTCATAAACCACATCTTCTAATCAAAGGAAATAGAAACCTGTTATCCCACTAAAGGTAAAAACACAGTTCTGAAAATATTTTGCGCAAATTATAGAATCAGAGAACAGAAAATAAGGGACCAGTTTCATGCATTTTCAGTGGCTGCTATTTCTTTAGTTCCCGAATTTATTCTCTAACTCTCTAGACACAAGCCAAGGGCATTTTTTAAAATGGGTCCTTTATCTAAAATTCCACTGTAGCCTATGCAGGTCATTCTGGTGAATATACAGGGTTGGGTAAGAGTAGTTTTGCAGTTGTTTGCACGGAAATACAATAAATAATAAATTATAATATAAGAATAAACCCTATTTTGCATACTCACAACTATAAACCTACTTTTGCCCAGCCCTGTATCATGGACTAGGAATTCTCTGTCTTTAAATGTTAATTTATAATCCTCCATCGTGGATCCTGGCTTTAAAGCTTATCTACTGAAACCAAAGGCCTTTGCAGCTGAACCCTGCAGCACAGCCATGACAAAAGCAACTACAGGCAAAGCATCAAGGTACAAAGTAAAGACAGCTTTGTATTTTAAAAAATAACTGACAAACTTTATATATCCTAGGAAGTGTTTTCTGTTTTACAGTCTGTGCATTAATGTTGGTAACACTCCACTGTCTGAATGTTTTTGGAACTTCTGTTTTGCGACTGCCTTACAACCATACAGCACATTCTCTGATTTTCCTGAATGGCAGCAAAAATCCCTCCTTTAAGGGCGAGTTTAACTTGTGAGAAACAGCCAACATCATGTCAGGCAAGGAGAAGGCTATCCAGCTGTGTAATACCGTTTTGGATAAAATATATATCCAAATATATATGCCCGTAAAGACATCACGAGGTAATACTGAAGTCAATTCTAAAGCAAATTTTCAAAAATGCTTTTAGCAACGATATCACTGAAGCAGTAACAGCATCTCTATTTTTTCATCACTCATGCTGCTCTAAGCTCAATACTATGCTCCTCATACGTTACATTAAATCCTCCTAATAGCCACCCTCCCCACATTAGTAGCATAAGTTCCAATAAAAAAACTTGCTCAGTTCAAGAACAAGCAACCCAAACCTACAACTGTAAGTAGCAAAGCCCAGATTCCAACACAAATCTGACTGATATCAAAGTCCATGCTGTTTCCAATTTTGCCCCAGAACATAAGAAAGCAGCTTCTAAAGGAACTTAATTTCAAGGAGACAGTTTGTAATTGTATAGGTAAGTCCTGATGTACTGCTCTCATTCCCTGATGATTACCAACTACCTGTTTTCCTTATTTCCCTTAAATAAAACCTACTTAAATAAAACCTAATTTAAATAAAACTTACTCAAATCTTCCTTTAACTCTTGAAGTTTCTTCTCATTAGAACAAGTAATCTCTGCTAACCATTAAGATCCTGAGATAAGCAAGACTTCTCCAAAGTTTCAACTGAACTATGAAACATAACAGTATCTTGGATGCTCATTTACTCGTAAAAACGAATCCAGTTCATGTCAATTAAAAAAACAGTGCTTCCTCTAGTACTGTAAAACAAAAGGGAAAAAACCCAGATCTTTATCAACTTCTTTGTTCAAGAGTCCCATACTGCGTGACTTCAGAAAGCACCTCAGCAGCGGACACCTTCACTAATATAGGCCACATGCTAACCACCTGTGCTCAAGTGTTGGCAGAAGATAGCTCTAAATAAGAGTAAACAACTTTAGAAATAAACTCCTCTTAAATCAGAGACTGATAAACATACACACTCAATTTCTGAGGTTAAAAATAATTAACACCAAGCTTATATTAAAATTTAGAACATACCAATTACAGAACAAATCTAATCAATTTGGTAATCCAAGTTGGAGAGTAGTGTTAATAACTACTTGAAGGGATTGTGTTTATGTCATCTCAGAAGCAGAACTGAACACACACTGCCTGGTGATGACCCACTGATATTAAAGTCTGTGAGATAAATTTAATAAGAAGGAACAGTCTTTCTTCCCATGGAAATGCTTTCATCTCTCTAATTTTATGGTCTCCTGGTGCTCCAAACCACTACTTTCAGGTTACTAAGAAAAAAGAAAGAAAGCACTTAGCATAACAACACCGCAAGATGAATCACCATACCCTGGAGTCATTAAAAAAAAGAGGAAAGAAATATATATTAAAAAGTATCAAATTAAAAAAAAAGTTCCATGGCAATGTGAAAGAAATTAAGGCAAGAGGGCAGGCCACATTCTTAAAATTGGTATAACATGGCAATCCCTTTACCTGATGCTGTTACCAGGAGGCTGTCTGAGGCACCTGTTCTACAGGATGAGGCACTAACAGGGTTTATGGAAGAGCAAAAGGCAATGGTGGTGGGAATGACAAGGGAACGCTCTGCACATGCAGGCTGGTTCAGTCCAGGGGTTTCAGCAGGCCAGGCACCCACCTGAGACGTGGCCAGGGCTGTCGGTGCCACAGTTAAATCTATGGACGGTTTTGGTGGCAGCTGAGGAGAGGAGGATTTAGGGAGATTCTCCTCATTTAGGACCCTGCTCCCTTGCGGTAAACTGGAAGGAGGTGAAGCCACAGTTTTGTTATCCGCTTTGGCCCCAGCACTGGAGGCCCTGCTGCTATCCGTAACAACTTTGAGTTGGGGGTGGGGTGGAGAAGGAGCTTGGGAGAGCCCTGGCTTTTTTGGAGGGATAGGAGGAGGGTTGCCTCTGTCAACTCGTGCTCCACCGGGAGTCTTTACGCTGGTCCGACCAACAGGAGGGTAGGTGCCAACATCCCCCACCGGGGGCGCTCCAGGCCTTGGGGGTGCTCCCGCTTGAGGGCCGGTAAATCTTGACAGCGCTTGGGTCACAGTATTCCGAGCCAGTTGTTTGGCCACTAGGTTTTCACGACTTGTAGGAGAGACATCTCTTGATGGAGGACTCTGGGTGGTATTTCCATTTTGGTCTGGGTCATTAGCATTGCCCTGGAACCTAAATCTAGCTGCTTGGACGCGTGGGTTTAGACTTGGATGCAGAGACGCGTTGGCACACGGTGAGTGTAAACTGTGCACAGGCGGAGCTTGCGAATAGCTCTGGGGAGCTGTGCCTAGTGTTTGCAGGGTGGGAGGGGCAGCGTTATTGGGAAGTGGGGTTGTGCTTGTTAAATCTGGTGTTGAACCAGTGCTGGGTCCATTTTCTTCAATTCTATTTGCACTTGGAGATGAGACAGTGGGTAGAGCGGAGCCAATCAAGTCACCTTGGGAAGCCTGCCTGTCAATACCCGGTCTGACCAAGGTGGCATTGGTGCACACATTCCCTTTTGCACTTGCAGAAACTCGGGGGCTCCCTGTGGAAGGCTTTACAGGCACAGTCAAGGACAACTTCTTCACGTGGTCAGCGCCTTCTGTCGGTAGGTCTGTCTGGCAAGCAACAGATCGTGTCATAGGTCCTTCTGTTCCCACAGATATAGAGGCCAAATGCCTATCTTTCGCCTTCCGGGGGAGAGAGAGGCTTGGTTTGCTGTCAGTTCCCCTTTTCAGTTGCTCAATCATTTTCTTCATCTTGTCTATCTCCTCTTTGAGGTCAGTGGTGTGTGCTTCTTCTCGGTGCAGCTTGGCACGAAGCTGTTCCCGTTCAGTGTCAAACTCAGAGAGCTGTTTTTCCATCTGAGCTTCCATTTCTGTGCTTCTTCGTTTCTCAGCAGAGAGTTCCTCTTCTAATGCACTGGTCTTTTTCTTTTCTTCGTCCAGTTTGGCCATTACTTCTTCTAGCTTTTGGGCCTCATCTATGACTTTGCCGGAGAGCTGTTTGCACTCCTTGACCAGCATCAGGACCACATGCTTGTTCTTGCCTCGCTCTTCCTCCAGGCGGGAGGCCAGCTTCTTGTGCTCTTGCTCAAGGGCTTGTAGCTGAAGCTTTTCCATCTCCAGCTGAAAGAAATTCACAGGACAGCTCTATTAATATGCAGAAAATTATTTTAGCCAAAGAAGTGCTTCCTGTGAGATTTTTCTTACAATTACATGATTTGGGTTAGCTAAAATACCACATTTTCTAAAGTGTATTGTGATAGGAAACAAATATTTTAGACTCATTAAAATGAGAAAATAAATGTAACTAATTTTATGAAAAACATCTAAGTTACACCAACAGAGAATTTTCTTAATCTACTAAAGTTAACTATAGAAGAGAACAGTAATCTCATCCTTCAGTTCACAGCACAGAGTTCAGTACATTCTGTTTTTGTAAAATCAGAGCTCTGTAAGGGAACTACTTTTTTAAAGGTTTAATGCTTTAAAATTACTAACTAATCGTTGAGGTAGAGTATAATAAGAAGTGCCAGTAAATAAATACTAAGCTCTTCTATTTACCAACTGTATTAGCATTTTTTTTTAACTTTGAGGTTCTTGCGATGGGTTGCTATAGAAATCACATAAAATTATATATGAAAGTTCTTTGAAAACTACAAAGAGCTAAAGAAATATCTTATTAGAATTATAATCAATGTCAGTGAACCCAAAAGTCTGACCCCATCTCCTACATCAGCCTCACTTACTCACTTAGCTCCCACTCTATTGGCTTCCTTTGAGTTTCTTTTTTTTTTTTTTTTAAATGAAATGTGTTGTTTTTTTTTTAATATATTTTATTGATTTTTTACAGAGAGGAAGGGAGAGAGATAGAGAGTTAGAAACATCGATGAGAGAGAAACATCGATCAGCTGCCTCTTGCACATCTCCCAGTGGGGATGTGCCCGCAACCCAGGTACATGCCCTTGACCGGAATCGAACCTGGGACCTTTCAGTCCACAGGCCGACGCTCTATCCACTGAGCCAAACCGGTTTTGGCCCTTTGAGTTTCTTGAACACTCATAACCGTGGTCTTGTCTCAGGGTCTTTGACTTTGCTGTTCCCTCTGCCTAGAATGCCAATGCACACCTTCATGTAGGGTTCCTGCACTAGGCAGTGACCAAAAGGAGAGGATGGCTCACTGCCCAGCGAGGGCCTGGCATGTTATTTATTTACTTTGGATGTTTCCTGCTTTGAAGAAGTTGTTAAGTAACATTGCAATGGGTCCTATGAATAGGTGAAATAGGTGATCGGGAATACACATAATTCTCCAAGAATAATTAGAGACTATTGTTTATTCACACACACCTATTCTACTGTATACAATTTGTAGGGGTGACTTTATAAGTATATTGGGTGAGATCTGGAGAACAATAGTACTGTAAAACATATTTACAGGCATGTTTTAGTCATCATAAAAAATAACATTTATAGTTAAAGCTATGGTGTAGCATTTACCTTTCTAAATACATCAAATAGGCTGCTATGGAAGGCATACACAAAATTAGAATGAGAAAGTTTAAAATATATTTTATATTAGCACCCCCACCCCATTCTTATAACAATGTAGAAAAAAAGCAGAAACTAGGTCAGTTTTCAGCTTATTTTTAAAATATGAGTTTCATAGTTTAGATCTAAAGGTAGAAAAATGATGTCTTGCAGAACTGTAAGGGCTACCTTCATTTTACAAAACTACCTATAGGCTAAATTAGTGATTTTCCTGATGTTATCCAGTTAATCAGTGTCAGAATCAAGACACTCACTCAGGGTTCCACTTGTCTCAAGCTTTTCTCACCATATCACACATCTTGTCCATAGAATTTTCCTTACTATGGGTCAATCACACTTCATTTTTGAAATGATAACTTTCATCTTATACTTCAGAATCCAATTGAAGACTGACTACCAACAGAAGATTAACTCAACTTATCTCAGATATTTATACAGAAAACTCTAAGTCTCCCATAATTCATTTGTATCTTTGTCCTGCCATCATTTGTGCCTTATGATTTCTATCTCAGACTAACATGGGTCTTTTAAAATCTTATCACAGATAGAACACAGAGTAAACCACATAACTGAGGTGCCTGCAGAGACATGACTCCAAATTCATTTGCACTTTGAACCCCAATCATCAATCACTCTATCTACCTTTGTTTAGCTTCCTCTACAATTTACCTCATTCATGGGATAAACTTCAGCAACTCTCTCCAAAACTTCAACCAATGACCAACTGACTCTCAGTCTATCCTAATAGATTATTTTAACAAGAAAATTCAGACTAATATACCTCTTCTGTATTTATTTTTTAAAATATATTTATTGTTGAGAGTATTACAGATTTCCCCGTGTTTCCCTCCACTGCCCTCCTCCATCCGGATCCTGCTTCTTCCTTTTCCTTCCCTTTCCCTTCTTCTTCTGCTTAAAGAAGACCCTTCAACATTTCATGTAATACTGGTTTGGTGGTGATGAACTCCTTTAGCTTTTTCTTATCTATGAAGCTCTTTATCTGACCTTCAATTCTAAATGATAGCGTTGCTGGGTAATCTTGGTTGTAGGTCCTTGCTTTTCATCACTGAATATTTCTTACCACTTGCTTCTGGCCTGCAATGTTTCTGTTGAGAACAATCTCAACAATCATATGGGCTCTCCCTTGTAGGTAAATACTAGTAACTGCTTTTCTCTTGCTGCTCTTAAGATTCTCTCTTTGTCTTAAACCTTTGGAATTTTAATTATGATGTGTCTTAGTGTGGGGTCTCTTTAGGTTCATCTTGTTTGGAACTCTCTGTACTTCCTGAACTTGTAAGTCTATTTTTATCACCAGGTAGGGAAAGTTTTCTGTCATTATTTCTTCAAATAGATCTTCAACTTCTTACTCTGTCTTCTCTTTCTGGCACCTGAATGATGTTAATGTTGGTATGCCTGAAGCTGTCCCAGAGGCTCCTTACACTATCTTTATATTTTTGGATTCCATTTAATTTTTGCTATTCTGATTGGGTGTTTTTTGCTTCCTTATATTCCAAATCGCTAATTTGATTCTCAGCATCCTCTACTCTTCTGTTGATTTCCTATAAATTATTCATTTCAGCCAATGAATCCTTAATTTCTGACTGGTCCCTTTTTATGTGTTTGATGTTCTAAGTGCCATGACATTCTCACTAAGTTCCTTGACATTTTCAGTAAGTTCCTTGAAGCTCTCATTAAGTTCCTTGAACATCATCATAACCATTGTTTTGAATTCTGTATGTAGTAGTTTGTTTGCTTCCATTTCATTCAGTTCTTTTTCTGGATATTTCGTCTGTTTTTTCATTTTTCTTTGTCTTTACATTATGGCTGCTTCTCTGTGTTTGTTTCTATGTATTTAGTAGCTGCTACATCTCCAGAATTTCATAGAGTGGCTCTGTGTAGAAGGTGTCCTGTAGGGCCCAATGGCTCAGCCTCCCCAGTCTCCTGAGCTAGGCACTCTAGGTGCGCCCCTATGTGGGCTGTGTGCACTGTCCTGTTGTAGTTGAGCCTTGATTGCTGTTGGCATCACTGGGAGGGATTGACCCCCAGTCCAACTGGCTATGAAGACTAGCTGTGGCTACAGCAGAAGACACCCTATGGCACAGGACTTGCTTCAGTGGGGCTTGGTTGCTCACTAAGTTCTTCCCTTGAGTGTGTCACTCATGAAAGTGGTAGAGTTGTAATCTGGCTTTGTCTGAAGCTGTCCACCAGGTGCACTGGCTCTGAGGCCTCCTGGGAGGTGCAAAGTCAGCTACTGCCTGTGCTCTCACTGGGGCCACCTGGCTTGAGCTACTGAACGATCTGCAGATGGCTGTTACTTGTGTTGGGCTTGGAGGTGCCCAGGAGAGGCCAAGCTGTGAACCAAGGCAGGCTGCTGCTAGTGCTGGGTCTGGGGCCACTTATCTAGAGGTATGGGGCAAGCTGAGTCCAGCTCTACTTTTTTGAGAGATTTTAGGAAAGTCTGAATCCTGAGATAGGACAGGCCATTCATATGGAAAAGCCACTGAAAACAACTTGGGTGCAGCTACAAACTGGGTTGGACAGAATCTCAGGTAATCCCCAGGGCAGGGTGAACATTGTGGGTCAGCTTGATGGAGTGTCAGATATGGCGCCTGCCAGTCAGCTCTGTGAGGGGTAGGAGATCTCATTAGAGGAACAATGACCTCTGTCAGTCCTTTTGTCTGGGAGAAAGCTGTTCCACAGGTCTTGCCCTGATGCTAGAACAATTTAGATCCTCACTGTATGACCCTGGATCCTTTCAAGCTGCTGCCCCAGGACTGGAGCTCAGAGGGAGTGATTCCAAGTACATTTGTGCGCTGCTGGCCCTATAAGAGGAACTGCCTGGGTTTCCAGCTGCCTCCATGTCACTCTGCCACAATCCCCGCTGGTTTTTACAGCATGATGTTACAAGGACTTCTCTTCCCGGCACTGGAACTCAGGGCTGACTGTTCTGGTGTGGGGCTGGGACCCCTTGCTCCTCACAGGAGGCCTCCTCAGCCAAGACACCCCTCCCAATAAAAAAACATGCCACATCTGGGTGTCAGATCAACCCTTTACACACCTCTGCACCTCCTACCAGTCTCAGTGTAGTTCCTTCTTTAATTACTAGAGGCCTGGTCCACGGATTCGTGCACATTGAAAGGAAAATAATTAGAAGGTGGCTGGCAAGGTGGGACTGGGCAAAATGGGCCGGACACGCCCTGGAGCCAACCTCCCTTGGCCAGCTGCATCTGGGGCAGTTCAGGGGCTCAAAGAGCATCTGTGGAGTGAGCGGGGTTCCTCTGGCAGGTGGGGTCCCTCGGCCTGGCCTGGGGGGACTGGACTGAAACTGACAGTCCGACATCCCCCGAGGGGTCCTGGTGTGCAAGAGGGCACTCTGCAAAGTTTCCGTCACTTGGCAGCTCCTGTGTTGAGCGTCTGCCCCCTCATGGTCAGTGCGCATCATACCTACTAGCTGGTCAGCCGGTTGGCCGGTCACTTAGGGATTCCATTCAGTCAGATTTCAGGCAGTTCTTTTTTTTTAATATATATTTTATTGATTTTTTACAGAGAGGAAGGAAGAGGGATAGAGAGTTAGAAAC